GACGTTGAGCCCCCAAACAGGGGGCCTCCTCATACCAACATGCTTGCACAGCTGGACCTAACACTGCATACCGCTGGCCCCACACAGACAGAACAAATGTGCCCAGAGGCCCCTTTAGCAAGGCAAACCTGTCCATGCCAGGGACAGAGTGGCCAGCCATAAGGGGGACCTGTGCCAGCAATAACCCAGGTGCAAGCTGTAGCCCAGAATACCCAGCACCTGCCCATTCACCCTACTGGGACTCAAAGCAAAGGAGGCGAAAGGGGGGTGGGTGGGTGCAGAGGGAAAGAAAGAAGGCAGGGGGCTGAGAAACCACGGAGGACCAGGGAGTGCGGGCAGGGGAGGGACGAGCCCCTATTTATGTAAGCCATTTGTAGCTGTGGATTGTAAAACTGGGCAGGATCCTCTGGAGTAATTCATAGTGTTTGGACAAGACAAACATTGTTCTGCTTTAAACAAACCTCCAGAAAGGTCAGCTTGGTTCATCCCTTTGCTGCGAATAGCTGAGACTATCCAGATGATGAGAAAATCAGATCTTAGCTGAGGGGGCCCAGGCAGGAGGCAGTGGTCTCCTCAGCCCTCGGTTATGCTGGGAGATGACACCCAATGCGGGGAGGGCCTTTGTCTCCCCTTGAAAAACCTGGCTCCCACTCGTGAGCCCGAAGACTTGGGTCATGTGCGCACGCATCACAGGCCATGCCAAGGATAATGCCAAGGACCATCCCAATCCTAGGGCAAGGTCAGCATGACCCACAATGGCAGTTTTTATTCAGGTGAAGGATTGATGGGAAATGAAGGTTCATGGTGGAGGAACTGAATTAGACCCACAAAACACGTGCCCAGATAGCATCCCCGACACCAGAAGAATCCATCTTCCTTACACTGAGATGCCCCGGCTCCTCTATATTCACTCAGCAATATTTTCTGAATGCCTAAGTTACAGAGCCCTGTCAGGTGTTGGTCCGACAGTGTAGTGCCCCCAGCCCCCAACCTTTCCTAAGAAGCAGAGCTGCTTACAATTTCACGGCCAGCTGGTCCACCACCATCATGGCTTCTCCGAGCCCCGGGCCAAGCCCCAGGGCTCGGAATGAGGTCTGACATCTGGCCCAGGGCTCAGTGTTAGCTGCCCTTCGGGTTATGATGGCAGGGATGACTCCACTGAGGAGCGATCTACCTAGCTCCCGCTGACCTGGACACTCAGTGTTAATATTTAGGAAGCAGACTCCCTGCCTTCTTAAATTATGATTCAGTATTAATAGATTTTTTTGCCCTTTAATACCAAATCCCGGTATTAAAAAAAGAAGGAAGAAAAAGCACCTTTCACATATTTCAGAAGAGGAAGTCAGTGCCAGAGAGGGGAGTGACTTTCCTGATGTGGAGATGTCAGTGGGGGGGATTATAAGGACTGGTGCCCAATCCAAACGGTCCGCTTGGTTTCTTGGGCCTGCTAAGCATCCACGGAGCTCCCCAGGAGACCCCGTAAAATGGTGCTCAGCCTGAGGCTCACCAGTGGCTGTCTAGATGTGGTCACATTCATACAAGCTATGTAGTCTCTGGCACATTGGGGTGCTGGCGCGGCAGCTCTTCTTCCTGATGTGTCTATGAGTGGGGGAGAAGCCCCCCTCCTGCCTCTCAAGTCCTCATTTCTTTATCACTTTATTATGACTGAATAATCCACACACTTGTGCAATGTGTTTGGGCTCAGTGATCCTTGTCTGTTCTTATTCTGTGCCACTTTTTTTTTTTTTTTTTTTGTATTTTTACTGGTACCAGGGATGGAACTCACAACCACATGCTTGCAAGGCAGGCGCTTATGCCGCTGAGCTAAATCCCCAGCCCCCAGAACTGATTTCTGATCACTGGTATCTTTGTTGTTTTTTTTTTGTTGTTGTTTTTGTTTTTGTCTTTTTCATTTTTATCGGTACCAGGGATCGAACTCACGACTGCCTGCTTGCAAGGCAGGCGCTTATGCCGCTGAGCTAAATCCCCAGCCCCCTCTTCGCCACCTTTTGGAGTCTAGATTTTCTGCCCATGTGAGGGAAGTTTTCCTTTACTGACATTTGGGAAAAATAATCTAATCTGTTCCACATCATTGATTTTTGCAGTTAGGAAAGCTTGTTCCTTTAACCATAGAAAGTTTTTTATGCAATGATTTTTTATGAAAAACTCTTTCTTCCCATTTTGTTCCAAAATCTTGACTTTTTCCCATCTAAATTAGTAGAATGGGACATAGAAAGTGGTCCCCAGTGTGGGTGGTTTGAATGGGTAACCCCCAGTCCATGTGGATGCCTCACAGCCACCTTTGGGAACATCAGCTTTGGGGCAGTTGGATAAGGCTCCTTGGCCTCAGTTTCCTCATTTGTAATCTCATGGAGCATTCTCTAGGGGCCACCTCTGTTCTTCTCTAACTCTGCTGTCATCTGACACAGTAAAGGCCTTGGGGATGAGGAAGTTGCTGGACCTGCACTGTACCCTGGGAAAGAGTGGGATAGATTCTGCCGTCATCTGTCACCAATGCAGCAGTCCCTAGTCCCTCTGAGGGTCTGGGGTTCTCTAGTCCCCTGGAAGAATGGAAGATGCTGACCCTCAGTTTATAAATACTTCTGAATGATGGCCTCCTGGAGTCCCTGTGGACTGAAGTCCCTTGATTTTGTGGCTCCCATTTTCTACAATGCCCAGGAGGTGATTTACTTACTTTGGGACTGATTTCTGGATCCTGAAAGGGGTGGCAGTGTGAGCTGTAAACAGGAGTTCAAACTGTGTTAACACAAGCAGCAAGAACTTGTCACCCTCGTAGAATGCTCTGAATTCAGTTTTGTGTATAAAGTACAGTTAGATGTGACCACTGCCTATAGGAAGAGAACCCAAAGGAAGACCTGAGGAGTGTTTTACAGCCAAGTGTTAGTGATTCCTCTTTTGTCCCTTTCATTGATCCCAAGCTTGCTTTTTAGATGTGAAGAGGATCTTCTGATTTCTGGCCTTTTGGGGATTGTGGTATTACATTAGGTTCTGGTGTGATACAATTTGGCTCTTGAATAGCCACTAAGTGTCCATGTGTTAAATGCTTGGTCACTGGGGTGCACCACTGGGAGATGGCAGAACCCTTAAGAAGTAGGATCTAGTGGGAGACCTTGAGGTCACTGAAGAATGTCACCCAAACAGTATTGGGGAGCCCAGCACATCCTCTTCCTTTCTGTTTTACTTCTTGATGATGAGATGAATGGCTTTGCTTTACCATATTCTCTCACCATGATATGTTGCTTCACTACAGATCCAAAGTAAAGAGGGCCAACAATCCTGTACAGAAATTTCCAAATCTGTGAGCCAAAATAGACCTTTTATCTTTGCCAATTGATTGTCTCAGGTACTGCATTATAGTGATGGAAAGCTAAGTGACACACTGAGGCCGTTATAACAGAGTCCCACAAACTTGGCTAAAAGCAAGGGAAGTTTATCTTCTTAATGTTCTGGAAGCCAGAAGCTTAAAATTGGTATCATCATGTTGAAATCAAGCTGAGCATGGTGGCCCATACCTGTCATCTCAGTACTACTTGGGAAGCCTAGGCAGGAGGATTGCTACAAGTTTGAGGGTGCCCTGGGCTACATGGTGAGTTCAAAGCCAGTGTCGACTACAACTGTGACATTCTGTTTCAAAAAACCAACAAGAAAAGAAAGAGAGACAGAAAGGAAGGAAACAGGCCAATGGCTGTGCTTCCCGAAGAGGCTGCAAGGGAGACTTCGTTGCCTGCCTCTTTCAGCCTCGGGTGGCTGTGTGCATTTCTTGACTTCAGCCTGGATCACTCCAGTCTGCCCATTTTCACAGAGCCTTCTCCTCTTCCATCTGTAAGGGCTCTCCCTGCCTCTCTCTTGTAAGGACACTTGAGATTTCATTTAGAGTCCATCCCGGTAATCCAAGATGATCTCTCCATTTCAAGACCTTGAACTTGGTTTCATCATTGAAGTCTCCTTTTTTGCCCATATAAGGCAACATTTACTGATTAGAAAGATGAAGACGTGGGTATCTTTGGGGCCCATTTTTCTGCTTCCCAGAACTAGTCACTGCTTTCCCTTGTCCTGATTCTGTGCTCTTTAGCTGACTGGTCAGTCATGCACTCCTGTCTTGGCAGTCTAGGAGGATTCAGAGGGCCCAGTCCTTCAAGAAGCTTGTGCGTTCATTAGAGAGTCTGCATGGCAGAACAAGCAGCCAGGGTTTTGGAGGTGCCAGGAGGGAATTGGACAAGCTCAAATGTCTTATCACAGCCCTCAAGGCCCTGCATGTCTTAGCTCCCCACTCTGCCTCTAAATTTACTGTCCCTCCACTACTCCACTCCCCAAGTCCCCATCAGGCCAGTCTCCTCCTGTCCCTACACAAGCCAAACGTTGGCCCAGAACCTTATGTGCCGTTCCTTCTGCCTGAAGCACCCCACTCATCATATCCCCCAACTGCCTTCTGCACCTCCTTCACTCTGCCCTGCTGGACGCTTCTTAGCTCCTACCAGGGCATTTTGTTCAAAACCCATCTTCTCTCCTGGCACTTGCTGTTCCCTCCTCCGCTTTATGAGTGACCACACCATACTGGAATTGCTCCTCGGCCCCTCCCCACCTCCGCAAGCACTCTGAGATCCGATGACCAGAACTTCCCAGAAGATCCTAACTGCACCCTGTTTCATTTCCAGTTCTCCTTTTGAGGATGTATTTAGACTTTTTTTCCTGCCTAGGAGCACACTGAATTTCAAGTGGACCAGAATGGGGGTGGGGGTGCTCTTCTAAGGGGAATTAATCAATGTGAGGAGGAGCTGTGTGTGTGTATATGTGTGCATGCTGTACAGTTGTGCAGGGGGAACTTACTGGCATGTAGAGCACAGGGTTTAGAGATGGCAAATGTTCCAGTGGTGGGTAGGACCATTCTGCTCTGGGAAGAATATTCTGATGCCAAACGCCAACAACATCTTTGTGGAGGAATACTGTTTGGAGGAAACCATTTATATTGAGTCCCAAAATAATTTTTTCCAATTTAATTGATAGCCATTCTGTAACAGTAGTTCAAATTGTTTATGCGCACAAACATCCCCTACTAAACCTGTCACACGACTTCTTGAGACCCTTTAAAGCATCCTCTTCTCCCTGGCTTCATCCTGGAGTCATCACTTAAGCTGGAGGTCTCACCAAGGGGTGAGAAACCTTCAGACTTCATGTCAATGTTGAATGAGCTGAACCCCAACTCAGGGTCCACAGGGCCCCCCGTTATTTTTCCACTCAGAGGCTGTCCTTTTATTTGTATCCTTTGTAGTCTCCCTCAAGCTGGGTCTTCCATCCATGACAAAGCCTCCAGCCCTCATCATGACCTGTTTGCTTCATTTTAATAGCATTTATCGTCGGACCTTGTCAAAAGCTTTTTGCAAATGAAAGTATGTTACATCTGCTGGTTCCCGCTATCCACAGGCGTTTTCACCCCTTCAAAGAGTCCTGGTAGATGAAAGGATTTGGCAGACTTCTCTTTGGCAGCTCTGGACTCCTGAGCCAAGTCACCCCTGCAAAGAGGAAGCCTGAACTGAAGACACAGATAGCACACAGTAAAAAGATAATCCCCTAGGAGCCCTACATACTATCCAGACCTGTTTCCCGTGTTCTAAACCCTTTTCCAGAACACTCATCTGCCTTGAAATTCTGTTCAAGGATCTGAGATTCCTTAAACAATCCTTCACATGGCCAACCAGGTGAGGTGGACTCTAGAGACATTGAAAGGATGCCCCTAATTCTTCCGGGCTGAGGGAGCTGGAAGACTGACCTGAGGATTATAAATATTAAAGACAACAGGGCTGGAAACGTAGCTCAGTGGTGTAAGCACCTGCCCAGCAAGTGAAGGTACTGAGTTTGATTCCCAGTGCCAAAAAAATAAAAGACAAAACAAACCACAACTGGAACCTAGGAGTACAGCTCTGTGGTAGACCATTTGTGGGAATTCTTGGGTTCAATACTGCATTGCCAAAACAAAAACAAGCACAAACAAAAATCCAGCCGGGCATGGTGATGCATGCCTGTAACCTCAGCACTCTGGGAGGTTGAGGCAGGAAGATTACAAGTTCAAGCCAGCCTGGGCAACTCAGGGACATAGTGAGAAACTGTCTCAAAATAAAGATAAAAAAGGGCTAGGGAATGTAGCTTAGTGCCAAGGCCTGGCTTCCATGCCCAGTACCACAAACAAACTACCATCATATATTGAGCATCCACCCCAAGCCAGCTGCTTTCCTTCTGGTTTCGTCTTTTAGATCTCCACAGCAAGGCCAGTGAGTGTGGCCACCCATTTCACTGCAAAAAACTGACGCTGAGGTGCATAAAGTGACTTAGTGCTCCGTAGCTAGTGGTGAACTGGAATCAAGGCTTATCTGGGGCAATTTCTTTCCATTTCTGAAGGCAACACAATCAATCCAGGCAAGACTGACCATTTTGGAGAGGCTGGATGCTTTCTGGTCAACTCTGTGCAAATTCCACTCTATGCTGGGGTGCTGGGAGCCAGGTTGTCAAGTCACTGTGCTCTAAACTAAACCAGAGGTGCCAGGCCATCTCCCGCTCCTACTTCTGGCAGACCTGAAGCCCACCATGCCACCAGGGATGACTAATACCCAGCCTTACCTGCTTAACTGTAGCTGCTGGGAGGTCCAAACTCTGCATCAGAGCATCTGGGTTCAAGTGCTTGCTTTTCTACTTATTGGTGATGTGACCTCCAGAAAATTATGTCTCTGTATCTGTCTCCTCCTTGGAAGACAGTGATAATAATATCCTTAGAGGTAAGTTCCAATGCTGAGCAGAGAGCTCTGCACACTCAATCTACATGCTTCTTTTAAAAAGTAAAAATCTTAGGGCTGGGGATTTAGCTCAGCGGCATAAGTACCTGCCTTGCAAGCAGGTGGTCGTAAGTTCAATCCCCGGTACCGATAAAAATGAAAAAGACAAAAAAAAAAAAAAAAAAGTAAAAATCTTGGGTCAGGAGGGATTGCTCAGTGGCTGAGCACTTGTGTAGGTAGCATGCATGAGGTCCTGGGTTCCAGGCCCAGCACCACAAAAGTAAAATGCATACTGGTCATCTTGTTTCTCCTTAGCCTTTTGTTCTGGTCCTCTGGGTCACAGCTGTTAGCCTGTGCCATTCAGCACTGCCATACTGGGCATTCCCTTTTCTCCCTACCTGGCCTAGGCACTGGTGTTCTCCTCACCCTGAGGCTTGCCCACAGAGCGTCCTCCTCAGGGTCCCGCATGCACTGTAGGCCTGTCCCTCACCCCACACATATGAAACAACCCAGAGTCCTCTCCAATCTCAACAACCCTCCCGTCTTTATTAAGACACCAGCCAAGCCAAACCGAAACACCCCTGCTCTTTCAGGCCAGAGCAGAATCACCTTCTGTCTCCACTCCTCTCTTGCTTTGGGGCCACAAGCCCCTGGCTCAGTTTTCACTCCCGCCCCAAGCCCTGATGCTGGCCCTTGATGACTTTAATAGCTAGGTGACAGCCTACCCACTCACCTTCCTCTTGCTTTGCAGTAGAGGCCCCTCCTTGGTCCTCAGAGGTCCTCTGTCCAGCCCCAGAGCTGCTGCTCCTCCGCAGTGCTTTGCCCAGGCGTCCAGTTCCAGCACAGCCCCCTCCGTAATCCCCGTCACACGTCCGCTTCTGTATTCCCAAATCCACCAAACCAGATTGGTCTGGGAGAACGTCCTCTAATGATGAGCTTACTCTTTATCAGTGCTGTCCAATCCAGGGCCGACTGGGCAGCGGGCCTTAGATGTTATTAACTCGACTTAATTCACACTGGGATTGAATTAGCCACATGTGGTCCAGACCCCGGCCTGTGTCTCCGCTGCTACTCCTGCCTATCTTTACTTCCTCCTCTCTGCTCTCCAGTTCTGTCTCACCTCAAATCCAGATTAATCCACCTGTCTTTTCTCTGGTCTACACAGGACTGCTGGGAGGAGTGTGTGTGTACCATGACTTTGAAAGCTGGTCACCAACCTCGATAGGGCCTCTAAGTCTTCCTGGCATTGTCCTCTCTCCCTAGTAACCAGACCCAGCGTGTCCATTCTCAAGCCCTGACTCTCCTAGCCCCTCTTGCACTCACAGCATGGGTGTCACTTCCTATTGCATTCAAACATGAGAAACTTTGAACCACCTGATTGCTGATTGTACAAGGGTGCTTTTATCTGTCTTCTCCTCCTTCCTCCAGCTGGCTCCGTCCTATCAACATTTAGGCATGTTCAAATAGCCTTATCTGGGGAACAACAATGAAAAGCCCCTGCCTTCCCTCAATCCCGTGTCACCTCCCTGCTGGGCCCTCTCTTCTCTACCGCTGCAGTCACACTTTTGAAGTTGTCCACCGGTGCAGTGCCTACGTTCTCACCTTTTCACTGCACAACCCGAGGCAGTCTGGCTTCGGTCCCACCGCTCCCCAGCAACTGCCAGTCAAGGTCATCAAGGACTTCCTTGTCGTTAATCCAAAGCATTTCCGATCTTATCTTGACCTTTAAGGCATGTGACGCTGTTCACTGCCCCTCCTTCTCAAGCTCTGTTGTTGCCCATTGGTTTCTAGGACACCTAAGTCTCCCAGGTCCCCCTCCTCCTGTGGCTGCTCCTAAGTTTTCTCAATATTCTCCCTGTCCTGGAGTGCTCCATTCTTGGGCTTTGCAGGTAAAGCTGCGTGCCAAGAATGGTGGCTCCCCCCACCCCAACACATTCCTGACACAGACACCTGGGAATTTGCTTTCTCACCCAAGAACCACACTGTTGTTTTGAACTCCAGTTTGTACTCAGGATCCCGCTGCTCGGAGCCTGACATGCCTTCTCGGGTGTGTATTTATAACCTCCACTTTGAGAAGCTCTCGCAACACTTAGACATCTGTTTTTTCGTTTGTCCCCTCAAAAGGGAGCATGCTTTAGGAAGGGACACTGACAAATTAGAGGGCACTTGGAGAGGCTGCTAGGCGGTCAGAAACCATGTGCTATATGAAATCCATTAATGGGGAGCTTTTTTGCCTAGAAGAGGTAAAAGAGCGAGAGGGAGGAGGGGAGAGAGAGAAACAGAACTGGTTTCAAAAGTTTGAAGAATCATGGGCTTGTTCTGGGCTACTGCGCAGAGCTGGAAGTGAACCACCTGTAAAAACGACAGGTGGATGGATGCTCTACTATATTTTAGAAGATTGCAGATTGCTTGAATCGCAAGGTGTGTGACAGTCCTCCACAACAGAAAATCCTAAAGACAATAAAGTTAGACCTAAGTGACCACAGTAAAAGTGAGGAGTGTCACCTATGCCTCTCTGAAGATGACTGTCCAGGCCTGGCTAGCAGTGGAGATGAGCCACAGTCCACAGCTTGAATTTCCTTGCCCTGCAAGATCCACCAGAGCTCTGTGGACAGAGCGATGCAGAGGAAGGAGGCTGGTGCAGCTCTCCCTGATACAGTCTTGCAGATATTCCAGAGTGTGGATGGGCGGTGTTGGGTGGGCAGTGAGCTGAACACCCCAGTTTGTCTCCCTCAGACCTCTCCTTGCCAGAATATCTTTTCCTGACTCATGTTTTGGTGCAGTGCCATCAGCTTGGTTGAGGGCCATCACAGACCCCGCCCCACTGCTGCTCACTGCTGTGACTCTTGGGGGGATGTTGCTGGGGTGTTTGCTCATTACCTCACACCGGGTTCCCTTTAGGAGGCCCCCCAGGAGAAATTCCTGTCTGATTTTGGTGCCAAGAATAGTTGTCATTCTCTTGAGCAGCAGGTCTGTTTTTATCTCGTGGACAGTGGGAATTATAATGGACATGGTCTCTTTTTCATTTTGGTTGCAGGGAAAGCTTGGGAACAAACAGTGGCCCACCCACAGTAGGTGAAGAGGCTGTTCAGGGGACATTTCGGGACTGTTCCCATCTCTACTTTGTTTTCTCTCTCTTGCTTTTTCTTTCTTGTCTCAGCTGTCCTTATTTTACTGTACAAAACAGCATACAAGGAAAATAAATCACCTCTAGTCATAGTCTCCGGAGACATACAGCTACAACGTTGTCACTTAATGCAGGGTTTTTAAAGGTAAAAATGACTTCCCACTGTACATGTACTTCGATTTCCTTTTTTAAATTTCATGTCTTTCTAAATAACTGAGTGGTCCTTAAATAATTTAAAATTTCTGTGTAGCTCTAGCAACTTAATACTAACACCACCTTGTGCCTGGCTTTATATTTCCATATCCATATATGCCAAAATAAATCCAAAGGTATTATAGAACTACAATATGGACATGCATTATAAGCAGTAAAATATTCATACGTGTCAATTCGTTTGATGCTGGAAACCCTATGAGATAGATAACCTTGTCCCCTTACAAGCAAGGACCCCAGTGCTAGGGTCACATAGCAACACTCGAAGCCAGGTGCTCTGTATCCATAGCAAACCCTCCTGAACCCCAGGGTGCCTTTCACTATATGACTGGGATTTTACAATCCTCAGCGGTTAAATATTTCTTTTATTTCCTTTCACTTCACTTCTAATTTATGTTATTTTGTCATATTTTAAGTACCCTTGTAAGTCACCTGAAATCTTTCCTGCCACAAGGCAAGGCATAAATAAACAGAACGGAGTGGTAAATGGCACACAGAGGCAAAGTTAAAGAGCTACTCCCAGGAGAGGGTGAATCCAGGCTGTCCTTGGAAGAAATGGATTTATTTCCGGGGGCTATGGTGAGCCTCCCTTCCTGGAAGAACTGGCTTGGGTGGCCTGTACTCAGAGACTGGGAAAGGGTAGAAAAGTCTTCCCAGGAAACTGAGCTGAGCCACAGGGGCCATGGGGCCCCTACTTAGATTTTCAGGATTGCAAAACTGCCAGTAAGACAAAAAGAAGCATTTAATGGGGGTCATGAATGGGGCAAGATAGTCCTTGGACCAAAACCAGGACCTGGTGCTTTCCCTCTAGGTCTGTTGCTGGGTCACACCCTTCATCTAAGAAATAAACCAACAGAAATTCGGTCCCAAGGGCTCAGCACAGTAGGTTCTTTCCCCTAAAGGCCTTTTGGTGGCTGCTGCAAAGGATACTGTCACTATCTCCATCCTTTTGTTAAGTGACAATGAGGCCCAAAGAAGTCTGGTGGCCCCCAGGAGATGCTCCATCGGACTATCACTGAGTGGGATCAGCCACTTGACAGACGTGAAGGAGAGAAAGGAGCCCAGGTCCTGCCACGCTATGTCTCATTATGTTGCCCAAACTGGCCTTGAACTAGACTCCTCTTGCCTTAGCCTCTAGAGTACCCGGGACTCAGGCAACATTCCACCCTATCAGGCTAGTAGCTGAGAGATGTTGGGCAAGTTTCTTCAACCTCCTGAAACCTCAGTATCCTCATCTGTAAAATGGAATCAATAACTATGTTCCCAAGTTACTGTGGGCTCCCATGAGATAGATACTCGTAATCCACAGCACCCTTCAAAACGCAAGCAAGGAGGTATCACTGAACCTGCCTTGGGGCATATGGGAGAGCTGGGCTGGCCCTCTATGAGTGGCGGGGCTAATATGGAGGTACACACTGAACCCTTCGACCTACTGCCCACGACAGTACCCTCGTTCCAGACACATAGGCCCAAGGCACAGTGACAAGTCTGGAGGTTGGGGATTCAGGCCAGCAGCTTCTCCTCAACAGACTGAAGGCGGCCTGGGCAGGAAGAAGGAGCAGGGAGAGGTCACATCCTTCTCCCCTTCCTCACGCCCACGGAGCTGCGTGCCCCTAGGGTTGTGCGCGGTGCCACCGGGCCGTCAGACCGGGTCAGAGGAAGGCCCGACCTCGCCTCAGCAAAACAAAACAAAAAAAAAAACCAAAAACCCAAGCACACCGAGACGTGTTTGGCTGGGATGGGGCCGCCCCTCCCCCGCCGGCGCGCTCCCCTGGCTCGGGGCTCCCGGGCCGCACGGGCCGCACGGGCCGCGGGAGACGCTGACAGTAGCCCGTGCGTTCCCCTCCCCCTCCGGGGTGCGCGCCCGGCCCTGCCCCCTCTCCGGGGTTTCCCTGGGCGCCGCTCCGGCTTTCTCTTTGTCTCCGCTGCTCTTTCTCGGGCTCCCCCGGCTCCCACCCGCTCGCGCTCGCCCTCTCGCCCGCGTCCCGGGCCGGTCCCCTGTAACTTTTCTTCTTTCCCGGGGTTAAAACTTGGCTCGCGGGCGGGCGGCTGCTCGCCGACGTGATTGGCCGGCGCCCCGCCCGGCGCCCCGCCCCCGCGCCCCCCGCCCCCTCCCAGCGCTCGCGGCGGCGGCGGCGGAGCCCTCGGGGGCGTGTGTGCGTGAGTGCGCGCCGGCCGGCGGGCGCGAGCGTGTGTGTGCGCCCCGGGCGCGGGCAGGGCAGCGCTGCGGCCGCGGCGGGAGCGGAGGGAGCCGGGCGGCCGCGTCGTCACTCGGGAGAGCGAGCGAGAGAGGCGGCGGCCGGGGCCGGGGCCGGGACAGCGGCGGCCGCGCCGGGCATGGAGCTGCCAAGCCTGCGCTGAGGCGGGACGCGCCCGCGAGAGGCTCTCCGCCGTCCGGCGCGCGGGCCCGAGCCGGGGCCGGGCAAACTTTTCTTTCTCTTTTGCCCTCGCCTGAGGTAAAGTCCCGAGCACGGGCTCCCCGGCGGGGACGCGGTCAGGGGCAGCTGAGAGGGACCCAGCGGGACGAAGGGAGCACAGGATGTGCGGGGTTAGGGGGCCCCGAGCTTTCCTGCGCCGGAGACTGGGCTGCACGGCGGGTTGGCTGAGGACGGGCGGTCGGGCGCAGGGATGCCCCTCGGGCGGCGTGGCGGCGGCGGGGAAGACGAGGCGCAGGCGATGCGGGCCTCGAGGTCTCCCGACTCGTCTGCCCCCGGGACCTCGGGGGAGCGGAGCGAGGCGGGCCGTCCCCGCGGGGTCGGTGTCTGGCTTCGCCCGCGCCCCCGGCCGGCTCTCCGCCGAGGGCCGGAGGACGCGGGGCGGGCTGGCTGAGCGCAGCTCCCTCTCTCCGCAGGCGCCTTCTGCGGCGGGCGGACGGACTCCTCGGCGCGGCGGGGCCGGGGCGAGCTGGACGCAGCATGATGCGCGCCGTGTGGGAGGTGCTGGCCGCGCTGGTCGCGCTGGCGTGCCTGGTGGGCGCGGTGCGCGCCGGCCCCGGGCTCAGCATGTTCGCGGGCCAGGCGGCGCAGCCCGACCCCTGCTCGGACGAGAACGGCCACCCGCGCCGCTGCATCCCGGATTTTGTCAACGCGGCCTTCGGCAAGGACGTGCGCGTGTCCAGCACCTGCGGCCGGCCCCCGGCGCGCTACTGCGTGGTGAGCGAGCGCGGCGAGGAGCGGCTGCGCTCGTGCCACCTCTGCAACGCGTCGGACCCCAAGAAGGCGCACCCGCCAGCCTTCCTCACCGACCTCAACAACCCGCACAACCTGACGTGCTGGCAGTCGGAGAACTTCCTGCAGTTCCCGCACAACGTCACGCTCACGCTGTCGCTCGGCAAGAAGTTCGAGGTGACCTACGTGAGCCTGCAGTTCTGCTCACCGCGGCCGGAGTCCATGGCCATCTACAAGTCCATGGACTACGGGCGCACGTGGGTGCCCTTCCAGTTCTACTCCACGCAGTGCCGGAAGATGTACAACCGGCCGCACCGCGCGCCCATCACCAAGCAGAACGAGCAGGAGGCCGTGTGCACCGACTCGCACACCGACATGCGCCCGCTCTCGGGCGGCCTCATCGCCTTCAGCACGCTGGACGGGCGGCCCTCGGCGCATGACTTCGACAACTCGCCGGTGCTGCAGGACTGGGTCACCGCCACTGACATCCGCGTGGCCTTCAGCCGCTTGCACACGTTCGGCGACGAGAACGAGGATGACTCGGAGCTGGCGCGCGACTCGTACTTCTACGCTGTGTCCGACCTGCAGGTGGGCGGCCGCTGCAAGTGTAATGGCCACGCTGCTCGTTGCGTGCGCGACCGCGACGACAGCCTGGTATGTGACTGCAGGCACAACACGGCTGGCCCGGAGTGCGACCGCTGCAAACCCTTTCACTACGACCGGCCCTGGCAGCGCGCCACAGCCCGCGAGGCCAACGAGTGCGTGGGTGAGTGGGGCGCCGCGGCTACGCGCGAGGTGGGCGGGGGGGGGGCTCGCAGCCGGGGTCCTGGACAGCGCAGAAGCAGCGGCGTCTCAGGATTGGGGTTCTGGCGGGAAGCGCGTTCGGTGATGACGGGGACCCGAGAGGGCTGAGAGCGGGTCCATTCTCTCGCGTGGCGCTCGCGGTGGACACCCGGGTTTGCGTCCCGGGCCCTTAGAGAAGCCAAGAAACAGTGGCACAAATGCTGCTGCAGGTTGGGAGTGGCGGTAGTGGCTTGGGGGAAATTGGTAGAAAAGCTTCCATTCCTCCCTCTCAGTTCGCCTGGTCCCTGGGATTCACCTCTGCCCCACCCCCTGTCCTAGGGCTGCAGCTGGGCGCGCGGTTGGGGACCCCGGCCCTGTTCCCAGGAAGTTTCAGCTCCAGAGCTGTAAATCCCTTGGGAGAAGCCAGAGCACGGCAGTTTGGGGCTCGTTCAACACCCGACAGAAATCACGCTTGCACCCTCCATTTGTCTTTTTATGGTTCGAAAAAATTTTCCTTTTCTCTTTTGAACAGCATGTTTGTGTTAGCCAAAGAAGAGCTATGTGATTTCAATTAATTACTATCTACAGATTACAAAAGAGGGTTCAGTGACTATTTTAAACTAATGCAATCTTAGCCCCCCCAGAAGGAAGTACACCAGATTTTTTTGTTAGCTTCAGGGTTTGCTGAAATTGAACAGTTTTAGATTAAGTAAGGGTCCAGCGTCTGGATTTTTAATGAACGTTTAATTCCTGAAAGAGAAGTCTGTCAAAACTGGGCACTGGTGAATAAGTTTGGATCAGAAATGATGTCGTAAAAGGGATACATACATTCTACTTCGGAATTGTACAACTTTGTTAGTGCAGAAATTCTCTGGCATCTATTTGTTACTGTTTAGAAAGAGAGCAAGAGGGAGAAAGAGTAGTTTTTCAGTGTGAAATGTAAATTCTCAAATCCCACACAGATTGTGATGGAAATCATTTTAGCCCATCCGTGTGCCATTTGGTGCCCATGTTTTGTGGAACACGTAGCTCTTTCCTCCTCCTCCCTCCCCACAAACGCCAAACAGCCAGCATCAGTCTCTTCAATTGCCTCCCCCTCTGAAGCACACTGCAGTTTGCTGGTCCCCACAAACACACGTTTTAAGGTCTGGTTCTGATTAATTGTGTCATGTTGTTGTCGAATAGTTTGTGCCTCATGACTGCGGATGCAGACTTTTGAGCAAGAGAATGGAAAACATGTCTTGGAGGTCGGCACAGAGGCCGGGGCAGGCGCCCTGGTCTGCAGACGCCTGCGCCTCCTGTTGCATGAAGCAGCCTCCATTTTTCCTCAACGTGACCTGCTCTTGCAGACCTAATTGTTCATCCCCACCCTGCAAGGGACAGAACCGGCTTCCAGTCTGAAGAGACTTTTCGGGATTCTGCAGAGTAGCTGTACCCCGACTCAGTGGTCTTGGAGAATAAAGTTCCTTTGATCTGCTCAATGCCCTCAGAAATGTTGGTTTTTCCCATCTCATCTGTCCCCTTCCTTTCTTCTTTTCTTTTCTTCCTTTTGTGCGTAAAAACCCTTTATTGACGTTTAAAGAGTTTCCCAGGGTTTTGCTATCAGTTTTAGTTTGTATATGCATATGAAAGATGACTTTGTACGGGCCCTAGCAGGGCCTAATTGGACAAATGCAAGTGAATACATTGAGGCAGATGAACGGAAGGTCGTGGAAGAATGTTACTGGCCTCCAGATTGCTCCAGCCTTGGCATTGTTCAGGTTCTCACCACCCCCATGGCTCCCTGTCACTGTGGGCCTGAAGACTTAACTTGCATTTCTTACAAAGATAGCTGAACACTTGAACTAATCTATAGTTTAGGATATTTTGTCTTTCCACCAAAGCACTATGTACACAAATTGGATTGACCTTTTTTTTTTTATTTTTTGCCAAATTGAGCAATCAACTTATTAACTAGTAATTAGCAAGCATTTTTGTTCAAAAAGTTTAATTAAGCCTGATAAGTACATAATCTACATGACAAATGATCAGCCAGAGATACTTTTTTCTGGTTTTTACTGAAGTTATTTTAATTCTGAGTATTTAAAGTATCTTTAAATCTTGTCAATTATTCAGTCATTTCATTAAAGCAACGCCAATTCAACTCTGCTAAAGTTATTTATAGTTTCCTTTTTGAATAGATGTTCTGATACCTGGTAGCTATAACTGGGAACATCAGATTGAAGTTGCCATAAAGTCTTAATTGAAGTCTTAGTGATTTTTGCATCATTCTGTGAGAGAAAGCCAGCAAGGACAATTTAGGAGTGATTTACAATTAAAGGTCGAGCTTTTTATGAAAAGGTCCTGTAGTGGAGATATGTGAAAGAATTAGTATTTGACAGGTTTTTTTTTTTTTTATTTTAAAGATACTGAGGAGTACTCTGATAGGAAAAAGCATTAATAAATCCTTCAAACACTGACTTTATACTATCAGAGACTCGGGATGCCCTCCCCCCCACCTAGTCCCATCTTGTGAATTTCACACTGTTGACTTCAAAGTCAAGCTACTCAGACTCTTTACAACTAAAATATAGTAAAGTGTATTTTTTAAATTCCAAAACTCGGTCCTGATAGAAATGGGACATTATTACCATGTCATGCTGTTTTTGCCTTCATAAAATAATGAGACATGATTTATAGTAGACTGAAATGGCATACTTTCCTACGTTAATCTTCATTTCTCCCTAAAAATAACCCTAGAAACTTAAAACATGTTGGTGTTATTTGACTGAATAATCCTGCACTCAGAGCTGACGTATATTTACAGATTACTAAGAAGTGCACATAGCCTGTCTGCTTTCTTTGCTCCTGCTTTCATTTCTGCTGTTATTGCAAGGCCATTTTCTCTGCAGAGTAAATGTGAACTCTCCTTGAAATCTAGTTTTATTTTAAGTGGAATTTTGGATTTCTTCTTGAAAAAAAAAAGACCGAAACAATATGAAAGACAAGACTATGTATAACATTACAGCCTCAACAGTTCTCAGTGGAATAACTAAATACTTTCTTCCGCCCATATGTATCATAAAAGCTGCGTTCACATGCTTTTATACACATGTGCATTTACATTCCCTGTGTAAAGAAGCACCCGTGCATGTGGGGGCCTCTACATTCAAGGGAAAATGCACGAACAATTTTAAACCACCTGGGTTGCAAGGCCCTTTTTCTCCTCTTTCTGCTTTTTTTCTTTTCAAAAGAGCATCTGAGGACCATATTGTGTATCATAAATTATTGACATCAGTTTTAATCAGTGTCCCCCTGACGTGGGAGCTGTGTTAGTATTTAGTGCCTGACGAAGCATGCTGTTTAATCTCGCTGTGAAGATGTCAGCGTGAGCCTGTGCCTAGTTTGTGACAGGTTGAGCTTATGAAAACTCGTTTTGCCACTTACTCTGTGGCTTTGCATGGCCCAGCTGTAATCCAAAACCCACACAAAAGACGCCTCTGCAAGATGAGCACCGTGCTGGGCTGGTCTCCTATGGCCATGGGTACCTACGACATAATGCTCATAATTGTTTAAACATGGCTTTGAGGAGGGGGCGGTCGCACGCTGTAAATGGTTCTGTGCGGGCCCACTATCAACCCTGGCAAATGAGGGAATTTATATTGAAGGTGTTGCTGTGAGAAATCCAATGCCCTGCTAAAGATCCTTATAAAAATCAGAAGGCTAAAATTATCTGATGCCTTGTCCAGAGCCTGGTACATAGCTGTGGGTGAGTATATTTTTTAATAGGGTAATTATTATAATTACTGCCATTATGATGATTAACCCTTGAGGCCTTATTCTTTGCCAAGCGCTCACATTAATTTAGTCATTTAATAATTGCAACTGTGTTAATAATAGGCTCTATTATTGTCCTTATTTTAGAGGTGAGGAAAATGTGGCCTAGAGAGATTAAGTGGTTTACCTAAAGCCTCATAGTAGGTGGTAAAGCTGAGACTCTGGCCTGATGTTTGTGCTTTGGTTTATTGCATTTTCTCTGCTGCCTCTCAGTAGGATGGATGGATGCATGCATGCATGGATGATTGAGCAAATGAAACATTAAATGAATGGGTAGCTGTTACTCATGTGTGTATAGGAGAAAAGCTGGGCCAACCTGTCACTTCCTGCCAACCCTGGAGGTGGTTCCTGAGTTGTATTTTGTCACAGTAGTATTACGTTACAGTCACACATTCCTAAATATGAAGTTTTATATGAGAAGTTTTTCCCTATCTGTCTTCTCTTAGCCAGTGGGCCTAGGGAGACCTGGGGGTAGGACTGTAAGGGAAGAGAATATAAATACTTTGTTGCAGGTTCTCATCATCTACCAGTGTGGCTAAACACCAAGTCTTCATTTCAGCGCATATGATCATTCTCAAAGGTGATAAAGCTGATAATCAAAAAATCCTCTTTATGAAGGCTGTGTCCTCTCATCTCCTTCCCATCCTGCTGCTTTACCAGAATATATTGAATACAAAAAGTGTCCGACAATGTCACTGCAGATAGCTTGACTGTGGTGTAGGGCTGTCATTTATCTGTTGACCAGTGGCCCCTGGAGTCAGGGTCTTATTAGCACCTGGTAGCTGGAACCTTCCAGGAGGAAGGCAGGCCACTCCAGCTCCACTGAGAAAGGAGGGAAGTTTGTTGGGGAAGCTCTTCCTGGCTCCTTTCACCCTGCCCAGACTTCTCTGACCTCCTCCTCTTGGAGAAAAATGAGATCCTCAGAAAACTATTTGAGGCTTTATGTCCAGAGTAAATATTGGAAAGGCAGTGGGTTGCAATTCAGATGTTCCCTGGAAGGAATCCCCTCATTTTCTGCTCACAGCTGGTATCGATATTTCCTTCTTGAGATGAGTTGTGCTTTTCATTAAGCAAATTTTTTGTCTTGGGATTAAACCAACATTGTATTCTTAATAGACTTTTATGTTTACACTTTAAAAGTCCACTGGGTTGTTATCCGTGTTATCT